GCGCATCTGAGAAGGGAGGATCCTTGCACACTGGAGGTGCGGTCAGCCTGGGGACAATAAAAAGAAGAATGGTACGTAATTGCTTAATTTATTTTAATTTTCAAAGTATATCTATTCTATTTATTAATTAAAATTTATGAGTTTTCAGGAAAAGAAGTTGGGCCGTCCAATGAACCAAGATGAGCTATTCAAGGAGACTCATATTGTGAAGAAGAAGAAAGAGAAGGATGAAGAAAGGTGGGTCGAGGGACGAGCCTCGACTGTACATGTAAGTTTTCACTTTTCATTAAGTATTTTCATTTACTTTTATATAAATTTTGAAATACTAATTCAATTTACTTTTTCTTATAGGATCGCTTCAGAGTTGAAGCTGAGGAATTCATATGCAGTCAGCCACCTAACGAGTCGGGCGCGCCATTCAAACTTTCGGCCGAGGATGTTGAAAGACTATGGACGCGGGCTGCAGGCGGTCCAAAATGGGGGAAGGTATACGGCCTTCCTACTAAGACATTCCATCGCTATAGGTGTGGAATGCAAGGTATAGGGACTTCCTCGCAAGCCGAGCAACTTGATGGGGAGAGCCTCTCCGCTATGCGGGAGACTGTGACAAAGCTCACATCCGAGCTAGAAGCGTCCAAGGAAAGAGAAAAGCTTAGAGATGCTCAGTACATTGGCGTGGTCGCTCAGTGCCAGGGCATGCAAGAGCAGATAAAAAATCTCCTAGCTGGATCTTTTTCGATTCCCCGGTCTCGGCCATCATCGCCAAAGGCTGCCCGTCCCCGTGCTCGTTCGTCCCGTCCTCCAAGTGGCCGTTCCTCCCGTCCTCCCCGTGATCATTCTTCCCATCATCGACAAATAGACCCTTCTCAATACCGTGATGATGATGAAACTTCATCAGAGGGTAATGATAATGATGTACCAAACAATCAATGAATTTTAGACAATTTGAACTAGACAAATACAATTTGTTTTCCATTGGGTTGTAATAAGAGTTAACTTAGTTTGGTAGTTCTATTGAAATTTACACTTTCTTGGTTTTAATGTAGCTTTTAATGTTGTTTTTGTGTTGTTGTTGTTGTTGGGTTGTTGTTTGGTATTCTTATTGGAATTGTTGTTTGAATTGTTGTTGTTGTTGCTTGTTAGGGTTTTGGTATGACTGGCAGGTGGTGTAGCTGCCAAAATAGGCAGTTTCTGCCAAAATAATACACAGAAAAGCGACCAACATTGGTCTCTATTTGGTCGCTTTTCACGTTCAAAAAAAATAAATTTCTGGAGAATAGCGACCAACGCTGGTTGCTACTTACCCAGATTTCTACAAAAAGCGACCAAACTTGGTCGCTATTTCGTTAAAAAAATAAAATTTCTGGTGATATAGCGACCAACGTTGGTCGCTAAAGTACAAAAAATAAATTAAATTCATGTATTTAGGGACCAAAGTTGGTCGCTAGTTTAATAAAATATATAAATTATTGAATAAAAAAGCGACCAACCTTGGTCTCTAGTTTTCAGATTTTAAAATATAATATTTGGGTTAGAGACCAAAGTTGGTCGCTTCTTAATGATTAATAATAAATAAATAAAAAAAGTATTTTATATTTAGAGACCAACTTTGGTCGCCAAATTTATATTATTAAATTAATAAAGCGACCAAAGTTGGTCTCTATAGTCAATATCCGGAATATTTGGTCCATTTAGCTTAGAGACCAATGTTGGTCGCTAATTAGCGACCAAGTTTGGTCCCTAAATAAAAGAGACCATCAATATAGCGACCAGGCATGTTTGGTCGCTTTTTGGTCGCTTTTGGGCCTATAAGCGACCAACTTTGGTCGCTTTTTGTGGTCGCTTTTTACCGGATTTCTAGTAGTGCATATTTCTTATCCATTGTTTGGTTTGTTGTATAAAAGCATTGCACAATTTCTAAAAGAATTGTTTGTTCAAAAATACCCTCAAAACCAGTCCATCACTCTAACTTTTTAAAAGAAACATATGTTGATAAATGTTTTTATATGAAAAAGTTTAAAAATAATTATTTAATTTGTCTACCTATATTGTAATATAGAACTAAATATTTATTATAAGAAAGGAAATATGCTAAGTATTTATTTATTTACTAGAGATATAATTTTATTTTTTACTATTTGGATTATTTTAAACTTGCATTAATATAATAACTAGCATATTTTAATCAAGCATAAATTTTGAAGGACAATTTTATCTTTAACTAAGCTAATGCATGCATTAAAACCCATTGCATTGCTAATACCATGGTTTTCTATGCATTAATTATGCATAGGATAATACCAAATAGGATGTATAACTAATGCTTGCATATAACTAATGCACATGTTCAAAATGTCTACCAACAAGATATTATTAATACACAAAGCTAATGCATGCATTATTTTATCCAATGCATCCTTCCAAATGACCCTTAATTCTTTTTCTATTCAGTATAGAAATCACTTTTCTTGGTGAACTTGGAATCCAATTGTAGTTAATTTTGATCATTAATTGCTCTTCAACCAATTTGCGAATTTGATTTACGACATTGTTTTGTAAAGCTCACAGTCAAAATTATATGACAAGAGAATGAACAATTAATGAGTTACTAACTTATATCAAAAAATTGTCAACTGTGCTAGTTAAGTATGATAATCAGCTTAGAACTTAGTACAAACATGGATACTAAGTGTTCGACAAATCTGTGTAATATAAGGAAGAAAAGTTCGGCAAGTTAGTAAGCTCCAAAATGTCGATCAAAATAATAAAGATTGAAGATTGAAAAAATTCGTTCTCACGTATACAATAATTCAATGGTTAAGAGATCATAATTTGAACTGCACTTGTAATGACTCGACCGGTCGTTTTGCTTTCTAGAATTTCGCTCCCCTAAATAAGATTTTCGGTACTTGCTTTTACTGATTTATGACTTGCAGGGATGAGTAGTTCAGAATTTGGAAGAGTTTGGGTTGAAATCGGAACACTTGGTTCCTTAAGGATGGCCTAAAAGGCCAAGTTTGACTTCGGTCAACATTTTGAGTAAACGGCCTCGGAATCGGGAATGGTTTCATTAGGTTTGTATGGTGATTTCGGACCTGGGTGTATGATCGGATTGGGTTTTGGATGACCCGGAAGCGTTTCGGCGCCTAATAGTGAAAGTTGGTTCTTGAAGGTTTTGAAAGATCTTTAAATTTGGATTGGAGCGGGTTTTGATGATAGCGAGGTCCAAGCAGAATTCCGAGACCGTGAATAGTTCCGAAATGTCATTTAAGACTTGCACGCAAAATTTGGTGTCATTTCGAGTAGTATAAGTACGTTTTGGGCATTGGAAGTAAATTGAAGAACTTGAAGTTCTTAAGTTTGATTCAATTGGTTTTAGGGTGTGATTCTTAGTTTTAATGTTGTTTTGGGCGTTCCGAGAGTCACTACAAGAAAAAGCCTTATTTACGACCAACTTTTAGGGACGAGTTAATAATCCTGTCGCTAATAATATATGTATTGGGACGAGATTATATTGCGGTCCTTAATGCTATATTTTATTGGGAAGGTATAAAATCTGGTCCCTAAAAAAAAAAAAAAAATGGTCCCAAATTATAATTGAGAGGCCTTGAGTGTGAGAGAGTGCCGCCAAATCTAATACCAAAATATTAAAAAACTATTATTTTCTAAAAATTAGGCGCCAAAAATAAAAAGTAAAAGGTTCTAAAAACTAAAATAAACCCTCTGTATTCTCAAAACATAGTACCATCAAAACATAGCAAAGATCTAATCTCCGCCTACTTTAGCGCCTGTTTCCATCAAAACACAGTAAACCCTCTGTTTATCTGTATTTTCTCAAAACACAGATTGTGAATCTGGTCGTGTGTGAATTCAACTCTGCCCTAGTTTCCATGTCGCTCGTTTGAGAATCCTAGGTATGCCTCCTCTTTCAAGTTGCTCTTTTTCTTCTCTAAGTGTTCTGATTTCGCTGATTGCAGCTTTATTCGAGTTCTTCTTCTTCTTTTTTTTCTTCTCTAACATTAAAAAATTAGTAAGATTTCATTATCTGTTATTTTTTCGTTTATATAATCAGTGGAAAGATTATTGGGTTGGGATTCCTGATTTGGTAATTTAATTTTCTGAAGTGTATTCAAGTTTGTAGCCAAGAGTATGACTGTGCATTTTGAGTCATTTTAAGTCTAAGCAGCTAGATAACAATTTTGACATGGCTGATAAATCTGGAAAATTTATCTCCATGACTGAGGAAATGATAATACAGTAAAGACGCATATTATTTAGTTGAATACCTATGTTCCTGTTTGTGCCTCTATGTATGAATCAAAACGAGTGAAACGAATCTCTGATTGATAATTGTTAGTACTTTTAATCGGCAATTGGAAATTTAGCTGACAACATGTGATGCAAATACCATAATGCTTACAGTTATTGGCTATTGATAAACCGGCAACTATAGGTTAACGTCTAAGCAATTCCGAAAGCAGTAGACTGGAAAGTGAATCTCACACTGTCATAGAACAACTTCTGGTTTGCTGCCTATTTTTTAAAACAATTACTCTCCTTCAGGCTCTTTTCTTGTTCTTTCGCCCAAGAGCATGTTATTCCATCAAACTAATCTGGTGAAGAGAAACCCAATTTATTCATATGAATATTCCTAAATGTGTACTTGGTCAGTTCTTGTCTTTGAGGGCATATAAGTGCCTTGGACATGATTATACAAATATGGCATTTGCTGTTTAAATATTCTTTAATTCAAAATTCATTGCTTCTTAGGGTAACTTTTGTTGGCACTTGATATTTAACGTTTAAGTTGTAACTCTGCTATGTGACAATTATTGTCCAAGTAGAACATTTGCAGACGTTCAAAGGTGTAATTGGTCCGAACTTAGCCTAAGTTAAAATACTAATACATAACTGATTTAACCCTCTACAACTCAAGGTAGGTGGTATAGTTGGGATCCGTTCCCTTAAATCAAAGGTGCCGGACTCGAGCTTTAGTAATGGAGAATATCATATCCGTGCATAAGTACAGCACGGATCAGTGTCAGTAGACGAAGAAATTTGGTTAAAGAAAAATATGTTAAGGTCTCTAAGGAAAGTTCTATTGTGATGTATGGTCTTTTGAAAACTTCAAAACCATTTTCCCTTCAAGTATTGGGTATTGGATAAAATAACAACCATGGGGAAATCTCAGTTAAAGACCTCTGACTCTTTAATGTCGGTAACTTTTTAAAAGTGTATGCACTTAACTCTAATGACAAATGAGTTATTTCCAATTTTATGTTGCCAGTTACCACAAGCATACAGTAACAGTATTAGCTGTTTTTATCTAAACTTATGTGCTCAATTACTTAACTTGCTCTGTATAATTGTAGGAAATTAACTAATTCAATAGACTTCATAAAAAGTTCCACTGCTAGAGAGTTGCTAGATAGAATTTCAAATTAAATACAACTATTAGCACATATTCAAAATGCGACAGATTCAAAATGCACAGTTAGGATCAAAATGCAACAGATTTGCTAAAACTGAACTAATATAAACTCAACCCATATTCTGATTATTGTAGGTTAAATTTGAGAGTGTTGACATGAATGATCATCGTGATCATATCTTCGGATGGATGAAAGAGTTATGGAACAAGAGGACACTTGCATGCAAAATATGTGAAGGATAAGCCAATCCAACAGGCTCTTAAGAATATTCCAAAGGGACTAGACAAGAAAGAATGTGAGTGGTTAATAAAGGAACATTTTTCTTCAGAAAGTTTTCAGGTATTCCAAATAATTTAATAATCTATTTCGCTAAAGTATCTGTAGCCTGATTTCCCTCCCTAGCACTAGATATTTTTCTACTATATCTCGAACCTGAGTATATTGTTTAAGTTTATTAAATTTATTACATTTAAGCTTAATGTTACACAAATATAGGCGAGAAGCAACATAAATGCGGCAAATCGAGCTAAGTTGAAGACGCTTCATCATATTGGTAGCAAGCTATTCGAGAGATTATTTATCAAAAGGTATTATCATAAATCATTATTTTCCTAAGAAAATATTTACCAGCTGTTATTTGACATGTTTGCCTTTGATGTAAATGGCGGAAAAGATGGCAATCCACCAGATTAGGCAATAATTTTCTTCGAGACCCATAAAAAAGATAACAAGCTTGTTGAACCTGAAGCAATTGAAAAACATGTATGTTTGGTAAATTGAATTTGTAAATTACTTGAAAGTATTATGGATTCTGATTTAAATGTATCTTTATATATTTTGTAGGCTCAATCGAAGAAATAATTCAATCAGATCCATCTCTACCTATCATAGAGATTATAGAAAAATGTTGTGGACCTCAAACTCGTAGCCATGTGTTTGGCTTTGGGGGTGGAGTAAAGGTGAAAGACTTGAAAGGTGGAACTTCTTCAAATACTGAATTAGTGTCCGCGTTACGTTCAACTCGAGAAGACAACAAGTCTTTGAATGAGGAAAACAAATCCTTGCAAGAGCGCTTGTCTACCTTAGAAGATGACATGAAAGAAATGAAGAAAATGAAAGAGTTCTTCGCTGCTCAACAATCACATGTCCCGCTTACGACATCGCCCGTTTCAACTGAATGAACACTGTTTTGTCTACTGACCAAGTTAGTAACAATATACCCAACTTTTTAATTTATATAGTTGTTTTCGTATAATCAATTTCTATATTACAGATTCTAGCAGTTTACTTTTTTAAAAACTTTTGCAATTCATTAGTAGTACCTGAGAAGGGCAAGAAGTAATAGCCTACAAAATAGTGATTGAAGCTAGATATGTATTGAATGTACAATGGTGCAGTAAGTAGTTTGGCAATCTATAAGCTTATAAGATGCAGTAAACCATTGCTAGAGGCGAATGATAAATAATAGCCAAAAGCAATATATGGGGAGTTATCCCTTGCTGTAAATTTGGACAACTTGGATGGAAAGGAACCATAAATATTTTGATAAGCCTCATCTGTCTTCTGTAGTACTTAGATGCTCGCGGATTATTTTTTTGTGGTGTAGTAGAAATGTTATAAATAATTTTGGTAATATGGTGAAAGTTATCCCTTAGGCTTATCTTGCCTTTTTCATTTAAAAAATGTTATAGGCCCCTTCCATATTTTGAACAACTAACTTAGCAAGACTCGGTGCATACTTTTTGCTTTTCCTCCTAGACACAATTACATCAATTAGTTGTTGCACTAACATTAGTGATACATGCTTAGTGCTACGATCCGAATTTCCCACCATCGGGGGTCGTGATGGCGCCTACTAGTAGGAGCTAGGCAAGTCAATTATCAATTACCTCTTTTAGCAAACATCGTCAATATTAGAAACAATGAAGCATTTGATAATAAAGCGGAAGTCTCAAATATATTTAACTGAAAGAAATGTGGAAGTTTAACAAAATCATCTACCCAAGACTGGTGTCACAATACTCACGAACGTCTAGAGAATACTAAATACAAGGTTCGAATGAAACATAAAACTGTTTGCTTCGGTACAAATGATAACAAACTGAATAAAATAGAAAGGGACTCCGGGCCTGCGGACGTTAGCAAGGCTACCTCGAATGTCCCCGGACTGAAGTCAGCTCCCGAATCCTCTACTGCTATCCAAAAGCTGCTGCTCCGGCGTTGTGATCTGTGCAAAAAGATGCACAGAGTGTAGCATCAACACAACCGACCCCATGTGCTGGTAAGTGCCTAGCCTAACCTCGGCGAAGTAGTGACGAGGCTAGACCAGACTACCAGATAAACCTGTGCAGTTCCGAAATATATTGCAGAAAAATAACAGGAAATAAGCAGTTTATAAGGGAGGGGGAACATGCTGTGGGGAGGCAACAGTTATAAACAAGGAGTCTAAATTCTAAGGTTATAACAGCCAACAGAAACTTAAATCCGGAATAAACACACTTAAGCTATAACTTGTTGCGGCGCGCAACCCGATCCTCAATCATCACTGTTGCGGCGTGCAACCCGATTCATAATCATCACTGTTGCGGCGTGCAACCGGATCCATATCATTTAGTATTGTTGTGGCGTGCAACCCGATCCATATATATATCATTTATCATTGTTGCGGCGCGCAACCCGATCCATATATTTATATTATTAATCCTCACCCAGGCAACAGTCGAAAATAAGGGGCAAGGGAGTAAACAATTAGTGAAAGAAATCCCGGCAAAGGGAACACAATAACACACTAAATCCCAGCAAGGGAGAAAAGTCAATAACTCAATATCCCGGCTAGGGAGAAAATTATCATCTCAATAAAACGTCCCGGCAAGGGAATAACCAATATCTCTTTCTTTTGCTTTCATTTATTACTCTATAACCCACTTTATCATTTGAGCCATAGCTCCAAAGAATCATTTCATATCATATACCTTCACAATTCGCAACACAACTCAAGCCAATGCTCCACAGAGTCTAATAATCATAATCTCCGTCTCATGCTCTTTACAGTATATAGAAATCATCAAATAAGCATGGGAACATCACAACAAGTTCAGGGTAATCTCAATATAAGGACACATGGTCATGCTAGACACCAGTGTATAGATACTCGTCACCATGCCTATGCACCGTACTCGACAAATAGCAATTAGCAAGTAAGACTCTACTCCTATTCCCTCAAGCCAAAGTTAGACCAAACACTTACCTCAACTTCCACGGCTAAATCAATCCACAACGACCGCTTTCCCTCTCGAATTCGGCTCCAACTCAATCAATCTATGAAATAACGACCTTACAACATTAATATAAGCTAAACAAATCAAACCCAATGCCTAAATATAGTTTTCTAAGCCTTCTTCCCAAAATTCCAAAAATCGACCCCGGGCCCGCTTGGTCAAAACCCGAGGTTCGAACCAATTCCATATCACCCATTCCCCCACGAGCCCGAATATACAATTTGTTTTCAAATTCGACCCCAAGACGAGGTCTAAATCGAAGAAAATCGAAAAGCCCTAACTCTACCCATTTCCCCCAATTCCAACCCTAGATTACATATTTTAGGCTTAGGATTTCAATGGGTGATGATAGAAAATGAAGAAAACGAGTTAGATAATACTTACCCAAGAATATTTGGTGAAGAATCGCTCTACAAGTCGCCTAGGGGCTGTGGAGAAGAAGAGCTCGTGTGAAATTTGGAATAATCCCGTCACTATTCTGTTTTTAGGCTTTTAAAATAACTGACAAAAAATGCCCTTCGCGTTCGCGGGAGCAAGGCCGCGTTCGCGAAGGGTTGACATAACAGACTATCGCGTTTGCGATGAGCATGATGCGAACGCGAAGAGAAAGACTGGAGGGGGTCCAGGAATTGTTATACGCGAACGCGTGAAGAGCCACGCGAACGCGATGAGTAAACTGGTGAAGTTACGCGTTCGCGAACTGTGGAATGCGAACGCGAAGAAGGAATTTCCGGGGGTCCTGAAATTGGCTTATGCGATCGCGAGAGTTGTGACGCGAACGCGAAGAAGGGGACCTGGGAAGCATCGCGAACGCGAGCTGAAGGTCGCGAACGCGAAGAAGGGAATGCCTGTGCAAAAATTGCAGAAAATCTGTTATAAGTCCAAAACTACCCCGAACACCTCCGAAAACACTCCCGAGCCCTCGGGGCTCCTAACCAATCACACACACTAACTCAACAACATCCTACGAACTTAACCGTGCGGTCAAATCGCCAAAATAACATCAAAATCAATGAATTAAACCTCAAAATCATCCCTTTTTCATCAAACTTCATAAACTTTCATTTTTTTGATTTTTAGGTCCGAAACACGTCAAATGACGTCCGATTTCAACCAAATTTCACAGAAAGCGCTTAAACCACATATAAGACCTGTAACGGGCGCCGGAACCAAAATACGGGCCCGATACCAACACGTTCTAATCAATTTCCTTTTCAAATTTCCATATTAATTTCTGAAAAACAATTTCACTGAAAAATTTATTTCTCGGGCTCTCGACCTAGAATTCGACTCCGGGCATATGCCCGAGTCTCATATTTTTCTACGGACCCTCCGGGACCGTCCAATCACGGGTCCGGGTCCGTTTACCCAAAATGTTGACCAATGTCAACTTTATTCATATTAATATCAAAATTCATCAATTTTTACACGGAATTTATATTTATGCTTTCCGGTTACGCGCCCGGACTGTGCACGCAAATCGAGGCAAGCCTAAATGAGGTTTTCAAGGCCTCGGAGACACATAATGAGTGAGAAAACAGGTGATGACCCTTTGAGTCGTCACATTCTCCACCTCTAAAACAACCGTTCGTCCTCGAACGGACAAAAGAAAGAAGTACTTGAGTCGGGAAATAGATGAGGATAACGGCTCCGCATATCGGACTCGGACTCCCAGGTCGATGCCTCAGGGGGCTGACCTCTCCACTGCACTCGTACTGAAGGAAAACTCTTCGATCTCAACTGTCGAACCTGCCGGTCTAGAATAGCCACCGGCTCTTCCTCATAAGACAGATCCTTGTCCAACTGGACAGTGCTGAAATCTAACACGTGGGCTGGATCGCCGTGATACCTCCGAAGCATGGACACATGAAAAACTGGATGCACGGCTGACAAGCTAGGCAGCAAAGCAAGCCTATAAGCCACCTCTCCCACACGGTCGAGAATCTCAAATGGGCCAATGAACCTAGGGCTAAGCTTTCCCTTCTTCCCAAATCTCATCACGCCCTTCATAGGCGACACTCGGAGCAATACCCGCTCACCAACCATGAAAGCTACATCTCGAGCCTTACGATCTGCATAACTCTTTTGCCGCGATTGAGCCGAACGAAGCCTGTCCTGAATGATCTTGACCTTATCCAAGGCCTCCTGAACTAAATCTGTACCCAACAACCGAGCCTCCCCCGGATCAAACCATCCCACTAGGGACCGACATCGCCTACCATACAACGCCTCATAAGGAGCCATCTAAATGCTGGACTGGTAGCTGTTGTTGTAGGCAAACTTCGCTAAAGGCAAGAACTGATCCCACGAACCTCCAAAGTCAATAACACAAGCTCGGAGCATGTCCTCCAATATCTGAATAGTCCGCTCGGCTGTCCGTCCGTCTGAGGATGGAATGCTGTGCTCAACTCCACCTGGTTGCCCAACTCTCGCTGAACTGCTCTCCAGAAGCGCGAGGTAAACTGCGTACCCCGGTCCGAAATGATAGATACCGGCACCCCATGAAGGCGAACAATCTCTCTGATGTAGATCTCGGCTAACCTCTCGAATGAATAAGTGGTTGCAACAGGAACAAAATGCGCTGACTTGGTCAGCCTATCAACAATGACCCAAATCGCATCAAACTTCTTCCGGGTCAATGGGAGTCCAGTAACAAAATCCATAGTAACCCTCTCCCACTTCCACTCGGGAAACTCAATCCTCTGAAACAGTCCACCAGGCCTCTGATGCTCGTACTTAACCTGCTGACAGTTCAAACAACGAGCCACATATGCAACAATATCCTTCTTCATCCTATGCCACCAATAATGCTGTCGCAAGTCCTGATACATCTTCGCGGCGCTCGGGTGAATAGAATACCGGGAACTGTGGGCCTCCGCTAAGATCAACTCTCGAATCCCATCAACATTGGGCACACAAACTCGCCTCTGCAGTCTCAAGACACCATCATCATCTAAGGTCACCTTCTTGGCACCTCCACGCTGCACCGTGTCTCTCAGGATACACAAATGGGGATCATCAAACTGCCGACCACGGATACGCTCCAATAATGAAGAACGAGCAACCGTGCAAGCTAACACTCTGCTGGGCTCAGAAATATCCAACCTTACAAATCGATTGGCCAAGGCCTGCATATCCAAAGCAAGCGGCATCTGGCTGGCCGGAATATAAGCAAGACTACCCATGCTAGCGGACTTCCTACTCAATGTATCGGCCACCACATTGGCCCTCCCCGGGTGGTATAAAATGGTGACATCATAATCTTTCAGTAACTCCAACCACCTCCTCTGCCTCAAATTCAACTCTTTTTGCTTGAACAAGTACTGAAGACTCTTATGATCTGTGTACACCTCACACGTCACACCATATAGATAATGCCTCCAAATCTTCAAAGCATGTACAATGGCTGCCAACTCTAGATCATGAACCAGATAATTCTTCTCGTGGATCTTCAGCTGCCTCGAAGCATAGGCTATGACTCTGCCATCCTGCATCAATACTGCACCAAGTCCAATACGGGAAGCATCACAATAGACTGTATAAGGCCCTGACCTGTGGGCAAAACCAATACCGGTGCCGTAGTCAGAGCTGACTTGAGCTTCTGAAAGCTCGCCTCACACTCATCTGACCATCTGAACTGGGCACCCTTCTAGGTCAATCTGGTCATCGGGGCTGCGATAGATGAAAACCCCTCCACGAACCGACGATAGTAGCCTGCTAAACCCAAGAAACTCCGAATCTCTGTGGCTGATGCTGGTCGAGGCCAGTTCTTGACTGCCTCTATCTTCATCAGGTCCACCTGAATACCCTCTGCTGATACAACGTGACCCAGAAATGCTACTGAACTCAGCCAGAACTCACACTTGGAGAACCTGGCATATAACTGACTATCCCTCAGAGTCTGAAGAACCACCCTAAGGTGTTTCTCGTGCTCCTCCTGGCTGCGGGAGTACACCAAAATATCATCAATAAAGACTATCATGAACATGTCCAAATACGGCCTGAACACTCGGTTCATCAACTCCATGAATGTTGCTGGGGCATTGGTCAACCCAAATGATATGATCAAAAACTCATAATGTCCATACCGAGTGCGGAATGCTGTCTTAGGGACATCAGACGCCCTAATCCTCAGCTGATGGTAGCCAGATCTCAAGTCTATCTTTGAAAACACCTTTGCACCCTGAAGCTGGTCGAACAAATCGTCAATCCTCGACAGTGGATACTTGTTATTTATCGTCACTTTGTTCAATTGCCGGTAATCAATGCACATCCTCATCGAACCATCCTTTTTCTTCACAAATAACACCGGCGCACCCCAAGACGAAACGTTGGGTCTAATGAAACCCTTCTCAAGCAAATCCTACAACTGATCCTTTAACTCTTTCAACTCTGGCGGGGCCATGCGATACGGCGGGATAGAAATGGGCTGTGTGCCCGGAGCCAAATCAATACAAAAATCGAGATCCATGTCGGGCGGCATACCCGGCAGGTCTGAAGGAAAAACCTCGGGGAACTCCCGAACAATAGGAACAGAATCAATAGAAGGGACCTCTGCGCTGGAATCGCGAACATACGCCAGATAAGCTAAACACCCCTTCTCGACCATGCGTCGAGCCTTCACATCTGAGATAACACTGCGAGTGGCATGACCTGGGGTCCCTCGCCACTCCAAACGGGACAAATCTGGCAAAGCCAAGGTCACGGTCTTGGCGTGACAATCCAAGATGGCATGATACGGGGACAACCAATCCATCCATAATATGACGTCGAAATCCACCATGTCTAAGAGCAATAAATCAACACGGGTCTCCAGACCCTCAAACACTACTAAACAGGAACGATGAACTCGGTCGACCACTATAGAATCACCCACCGGTGTAGATACATATACAGGATCACCCAAGGCATCACTAGGCATAACCAAGTACGGTGCAAAATAGGATGACACATACGAATACGTAGACCCAGGGTCAAATAGCACTGAAGCATCCCTATCACAGACCAGAATAGTACCTGTAATAACTGCATCTGAAGACTCAGCCTCTGGCCTGGCTGGAAGAGCATAACACCGGGGCTGGGCCCCACCTCCCTGACCCATATCCCTGGGACGATCGGCTGCTGGCTGGCCTCTACCTCTGGCGGTCCGAGCTCCACCTCTATGATCTCTACCTCTACCTCTATGGCCTCTACCCCCGCCTCTAGCTGGCTGGGCGGCCTGTGGATCACCTGCTGCCTGAATCATAGGACGAGGACCCTGCTGCTGTGACTGAGCACCCCTCAACCTCGGGCAAGCCCTCCTGATGTGACCATACTCACCACACTCATAGCACCCGCCTGAATGCTGCACCTGAGAAGACTGAGATTGACCCTGTCGACCTGAATGACCACCTCGGAAGCTCTGAAGCGGTGGTGCACGATAGGCTGCTGATCAGAATAATGCGACTGAGACCCACTACCGCCTGAAGTACCATGAGAGACCTGGAGAGCTGACTGAAAGGGCCTCGGAGGATGGCCTCTACCAAAAGAATCTCTACCTCCAGACGAGGTACCACTAAACCTACCTGAGTGACGGGGTCTCTTATCCGACCCATGACCACCTCCCTGTGACAGAGCCATCTCAACTCGGCGGGCCGCCTCCTGAAACGAGATCTCACTCCCTACGCCCATATCCATCTGGAGACGAATCGGCTGAATCAACCCATCAATAAATCTCCGCACTCTCTCTCTCTCTCTCTCAGTGGGGAGTATAACAATAGCATGGCGAGCTAGATCAATGAACCGGGTCTCATACTGAGTGACTGACATGGAGCCCTGCTGAAGGCGCTCAAACTGCCTGCGAAGAGCATGTCGCTGAGTAACTGGGAGTACCTTCTCCAAAACAACTCTGCAAACTGGTCCCAAGTCAGAGATGGCGACTCTGCTGGTCTGGCTAAACAATAGTCCCTCCACCAAGTCTTGGCGGATCCTGCTAGACGAAAGGTGGCGAAGTCGACCCCATTGGTCTCCACAATACCCATAGTCCAAAGAACCTCATGGCAGCTATACAAGAAATCCTGGGGGTCCTCTGAAGAAGCACCGCTGAATGTGGTGGTGAAGAGCTTGGTGAACCTATCCAGTCTCCACAAAGCATCTGCGGACATAGCCGCTCCATCGTCGGTCTGAGTCATAATACCCGGCTGAACTGCCACAGCTGGCTGAACCACTGGAACCTGAGCCTGGGGAGCTACCTGCTCCGGAATACGTGTAGCAGGAGTCTGAACCCCTCCTCCAGCCTGAGAAGTGGCTGGTGCTACTGGAAGCAAACTCGCTCGAGAGACGCTCTCCATAAAGCCTACCAACCTGATCAAAGCGTCCTGAAGAACTGGGGTGGCTATAAACCCCTCTGGGACCTGAGCTGGGCCCACCGGAGCTGCTGGGGCTGGAACCTCCTCATCATAATCAACATGAGGCTCCGTCTCTGGGACTGCTGCTCGGGGCTGAGCTCTGGCACGGCCTCGGCCTCGCCCTCTACCCCTCGTAGGAGCTACTGCTGGGGGCTCGGGCTGCTGTGCGGTAGAAGAGGAAGCACGTGTTCTCGCCATCTGTGAAAGAACAGAGTAGAAAGACAATCAGTATTTGAGAAACAGAATCGCACGACAAGGAAGAACAAAAGTGAAGTTTTCCTAACTCTATAGCCTCTGGGGGATAAATACAGACGTCTCCGTACCGATCCCTCAGACTCTACCGAGTTTGTCCGTGAGTTGTGAGACCTATGTAACCTAGTGCTCTGATACCAACTTATCACGACCCCCGAGGATGGGAAATCCGGGTCGTGACACTTAGCTAATCATTTTACCAAACACATACACCTACTCCACAATTCAACTGAAGGCATTTTTGACATAAAAGGCATAAGTGAAGAATGAAATTTTTTTTTTCGTGAAACTTAACTGCAATTAGCAAGCTGGTCTGCTACAGTGAATATTTTGTGAGACGGATTAAAGATATTGAATTTGGACAAAACTGACATCATGGATTTTACTACTCATCTCTTTCCATGGAAACAAAACTGCAAAATGTTTAGTCCACCTGTGCTCTTGTTAAGAGATATCTAGTGTTTCTCTATGTAATTTTTTTGTGAAGTCATTACTAGAAACTTTATGTGCCAATAAGAAATAGGCCCTTAAAAAGAGTAAGTTATTGACTCAAAATCCAGACAGATCAAAGGTCATTTAAAAGAAGAATTATAGGTTGATTCTGGACCATCTTACATTGAACATTTAACAAACTGACCAGTACCTCAAGGGCCTGACATGATCATATATACAGAGACAGCAAACGATGCTGTCCACGCACTTATTTTCTGTCAGGCAAAGCTGCTGTTTAATACCTTACAAGTGATTTCTCCTCAATATCAAAATTTGAAACTTGTTTCTTTCTGCGGCTTATTTGACATGAACGAGTCAGGAAGTGGTAATATTCAAAACATGTGAGAATTCTAAGTTAGAGAGCTTAATCTGAATTTTATGAGAAACTGCCTCATCTTATTTTGAGTTATATTGGTAGAACATGATTTTGAATGTCCTGTTTATTTGTTGTATGTCATGTTTGTTCCGTACGTAAGTGGTAAGGACCGTGCTCAGTAGAAGCAGAAGATATGGTTCTCTTATGATTAAAGATACCAGTTCGTGATGTTGTTGTCTTTTCATAATATTTGTTCTCTTAAATGGTAAATCTCGAATTGTTGTACCGGAATTGATCGAACCAAAGTTTGATTTACCATCCCAAGGCTTTTCTAATTAATTTTTCTTATATTCCTATAGCCTTGTTGATGTTGCTCTATAACACCTGGTGAATTTAGACTGCTTTTGGGGTAAGCAGTTAACTATTGCTAGTTTAAATTTACATATGATATTTTACCAATAGTTATTTATCATATTTTTAAACTTTTGTACTTTCAAGTTTTGAAGATTGAAGCTACAAATCAAGATGCAAGTTTAGAAGATGCACAAGCTCATTTATTATTTTGTTAGGACTGTTATTCAAAACTTGATATCCTATCAGGATGTTAGCTAAGTTTTTTAGTTAAGGTGTTGAGCAAATATAAAAACTAACATCATCATGGGATGTGAACTTGATATATTATCTTTTTATATCTAGATTTTTAACAATTTGATATTTATTAATAAAAATAACTCTTTGTGGCATTGAGCTTTAGGACTACTCATGGCTAATATATATCGCTAAATTACAGCATAATCTAGGACCAGTGAAAGGTTGGTCGCTAAAATGGATTTTATATATATATATATATATATATATATATATATATATATATATATTTCAACGTCTATTAGGGACGAGATATGTAATCTCTAAAACTATTTTACGAATAGAATTATTGCCCGTCCCTAAATCATTTTAACGACCAATTTTTTTGACCCGTCGTTATTGACTTTTAGCGGCGGTGGCTATTATGACGGGTTGCGACTAGCTTTATCCCGTCGTAGTTTCTCCTTAAGGGACCAGATTTGGCCTTTTAAGGACCAGATTTCCCTTCCCTAAAAGCCGTTTTTCTTGTAGTGAGTTCGAGCGAGTTCGTTTCATGATTCCAAACTTGTAGGTATGTTCGGGCGGGGCCCCGGGGGCCCCGAGTGCCAATCGGTCGAGGCTCGGACCAAGTTGAGAATTTGGGGCGTAGCTGAGTGAACCAGATCTGTCATAACCGCACCTGTGGTGGGTCAGCCGTAGGTGCGAGCTCGCAGGTGCGGGCTAAGTCTCATAGATGCGACCAAGGGAGGGCAGCCCAAATTCCGCAGGTGCGGCCCCTCCTCTGCAGAAGCGTTAAAGCTCCCGTAAAAGCGGTCCCCAGACGGCCCAGGAACTTTCGCATAAGTGGATTCTTGTCCGCAGAAGCAAGGGCGCAGATGCGGCCCTTGGACCGCAGGTGCGGAAAATTTGGAGGCAGCGAGGTTCATTTAATACGGGACTTGCATCAATTTTTACACATTTCACTCATTCTTTGGACGATTCTTGGGAGGGATTTTCACCTAGCTTTTGGAGGTAAGTAATTTCTACCATATGTGAGTTAAATACTTAGGTTATGAGTAGATTAACATGTAAAAATTAGTGAAAAATAAGGGTTTAGAGGAAGACCTAGGGTTTTGTTAAAAAATGAGATTTTTCCACGAAAATGATTATGAAACTTAGTGAAAATCATATATTATGTTCCTATCACGATCCGGAATCCCACCTTCGGGATCGTGATGACGCCTAACATTTCACTTGCTAGGCAAGCCAACGATAGAGAATTCTGTCACGACCCAAACCTATGAGCCGCAACGAGCACCCGGTACCTTACTTAACCAAGTACCAACATAACATATCTTTCTTATTGTACTTTCATTGGCAAATGGGCAAAACGGGCCGTCATGGGCTAACCAGAATAAACATAGGGGAATACTCAATATAGGACAACCCAACCTGATATAAAACTTATACATGTGATATACGAGCCTATAAGGCCAACACGATAATTTGTAAACTCAAAACATAGGCCAGCAAGGCCATACAAGCATTCGTATACATGACATCTGTCTACAAGCCTCTAAGAGTACACACTTAGCACAAATGTCAGGATAGGGCTCCGCAATACCAACAATAGCGTCTAAATCATACTGACAAACAAGCAACTTCGGAGCAAATGGAGCGCACCAACATCTTCTGCTGAGCTGATAGCCTACTTGGAGGACTCTTGACTATCTATCAGGACCTGCGGGCATGAAACGTAGCGTCCCCAGGCAAAAGGGACGTCGGTACGAATAATGTACCGGTATGTAAGGCTCATAAATAAGTACATAAAAGACATGGAAGAAATATAGAGTAAATGACTCAACCTGTAAGTCTGGATAGCTCTGTAAATCATGAAATACTTATAGTGTCACGCATATGCGTATGAATGTCATGTCGTGCATAGGTACATGTGTTCATAACATCATCAAATATCTGAGGGCATCCCATCATATCATTTCGGCCATTGTGGGCAAAATCATTAATGTATACCAGATGATCAGGTGGTGGTGTGTATATAACGCCGTAACCTTCTCCCGTATCCCATACACATATAATAGACATATATACGCGTATATAACGCCATCAGATCATGAGTCAATGTACATGTATAAATGAATATGATGCATGAGAAATATGTCAATAAAATCTCTCGGAATGTCATAAGACCATTATGCCTTTGAGTAATAGCATGAAATAAATTTTTTCAACGTACGTATTTTTCTCAGACCCATGAACAGAAGACGTAACAATAAGACACATGAAAATTCAAGAACATAGGTACCTCTAATACTCCTATGAATAGAGTTATTTTGTGGAAATTGTGCATTTGCTCGTTTAATTTGTATCGTATAGATCATGCCAAAAGGAAAGAAGGGATAACCTTAACATCCTAAGCCGATTCTCTTGACAATCCCTCTCACATACGGCAATTGCGACAAATATAACGGCGGATCGAAGTAGGAAAAAATCCGTGTGATGGTCTTGAGAAAGATTATACTGGGCTCCCTTCGAATTACAAATCCCGTTACCATTACGTCGTATAACTTCGCATGAAGCTTAAGATCGTTACTTGGTAGATGTAAAACATCTCACTTTTGTGAATTTGATCCCAATTTTCCATCCCAAGAGAGCAATATTACCTGCCTTTTGTAACATATGATTTAATTGAATGAGAAAACAATAAAGAGAGACGATAAAAATGAGTAAAAAGTCTCAAGATTACCACCGTCGTTAATTCTTAACCATAAGTGACCCCGTAACCGATGCCTTGGCATTTATCAATCTCTATTTTAGCAATTGCACTCTTCTTTCTTGCTCTTATCATCTCATTCATGACTCCCATGGCTTTGCTTGATTAAGCAAATCCGTTTTCCATCCCGTTCTTTGTGAATTTGAGAGTTACTTATTATAGGGTGGGCCCTACTTGCAAGATGACTAAACCAACAATTTTTCTTAAATGTGACACCTTGCCAAAAGGGGTAAGAGTCACCTATTTGGGTGCTGCCACGTTGGGGTTGGGGGTGGGGGTAGGTGGGGGGTTGGCTTATCTAAAATTACCACTCTTTTCTTTAATTAACTTGTTTACCCTCACTAATCCAATAATTAATCAATTACCCATATAATTAAGTATATAATTTGTATATATTTTATAAGTGGTGTGTTCTTCTTCCTATTCCAGTCAAAACTTAACTTTATGTAAAAAAAATACTAGTATTTATAACTTAATTGCATATTTTGCTTACACTCCATATTCACATCTTGGAGCGGCAAAAAGTAACCCAAAAATTTTGAATCTCCTCTTCTCTCACTCGCTCACTCACACTGAACTCCCAATTTCTGATGGCTCTCCGGCGATTCCTCTATTACTCTCTTTCAAAAGCTTCAATTGGGTCACCGTAATCTCCAGATCTGAGTTCACTCCTGTTGAAAAATCGGGTCTTTTTGGCATTTGGGTGCTCCAAATATCATAATTTAGGGTTTCCTAATGATTCTTTTTGTTGTTGGTTTTCTCATGAGATGAGAAAAGAGCAAGAAGAACCGAGCAGCAGCGGGTTTCATAATTTACAACCACATCGAGACCTCGAATCGAATTGGGGGGTTGACGTGGCCAAAAATTTAGAAGACTATTTGCTTAAAATCTGTTCTGGTGAAATTGCTGATGATGCTCATTGCCTTTCTGTCAATTTTGCTGAAGGTTGATACTTTTATTTTTTTTTATTTTCAGCATAATAATATTTTCTATTTCATGTGGTTCCTAAATATGTAATTTTTATTTCAAGAAAACGAAGAAATTTTCCAGGTTGTAGTATTAATGTTTCTTTTTTTATTATTTGGGACGTGTAGCTGCATTGCTGCTTCAGGGATCAGTTCAGGTTTACAGCAGGAAGGTTGAGTATCTGTATTCACTGGTATTACATGCCTTGGAGTTCATTACCCAGAAAAGGTTCTCTCTTTCTTACGATTCTTTTAAGTACAACTGTTTTTTGTTTTGTTGGGTGGTAAACAGTTTTAAACTGTAATTCCGTGGCTCTTTTTGTCTTCTTTTACCATGTAATATGTCAAAGATCAGTTGTGCACTGCATTTTTTATGTGGGGTTTTGTTAGCTCTGCTTGAGCTTCATTATGGGATTAGCTGCTGTGACTGTTAGTACTTAGGTCCTTCAACAATTAGTAACACATTAGGAGTGTTAAGACGATGATGTGATAGCTGTTAAACAATCTGATCATGGGCTTGAATTTATTTGTTTCCTAGAAAACTAGAGCTTCCTTGAATTTCATAGTATTCATGAGTAGAACCTTTTGCTACACTTGTTAGTTGAATTTAAATTCCAACCTGGAGATAATCAATTGGGAGAGTTGTATTGATCGGTGGCCGGTGGTCACAATGAGATGTGCGCATTACAGTATCTTGATGACATTCCTCATACTTCTGGTCTGAAATTTAGGTTATTGATGTTTACCTATATTTTTAATAGTGGGTATGTCAACTGAGGAATTAAGAAGCAAGTTATATTAAAGTATTACACGAAAACTTGTGCGAGGCAATCTGAACTAACTGAAGTTAGGAGGAGCAATGGGGTTTCTGAGACAAGTGTGAAATGCTATGGGACTTTATAAGTATCTCTCTCGAAAAAGTAAGAATTGAAGCTCTTGCAAGATCTGATCACATCAAATGCTTTTCACAAGGATACCATTCTCATTACTCTTCCATCCCCATCTATGTATCACCTTTTTCCTTTTCGAGACATCTGAAAAGGATGTCACGGTTCTACTAATAATTGTTTCTACTAGTTTCACAAATTTTAAGAATTCAGTTACTCCAAGTTAAACTTTGATATTGCTGCTTCTTATTTGCTACCACTGCCACCTATATGATACATAAGCAAAATTGATAGTTTAGACTACACGGTAAGTGGAGTTGTGTCATAAAAAAATGTGATGAAGGCATTAATTTGGTTCCGATCGTGAGGGCAGGCTGCTGGAAAATAATTCATCTAACTCGTTGTTGATACGTTATGTACTTCACTGCAAAAAAAAATATTGCAGTACACCTCATAATACTGATTCAGTGCTTATACACGAAAAAAACTGAAAACCAATAATGTCATATTTTCCATAAAATCAGCGAACAGGACCACCCAGAAAGCGCATCAGCACAGGCAGAGGAAAAATCTAATGATGAAGAGAATGATCCATTCTGGGTCTCAGAAGAAATCCCTGGTAGTTCTTTATTTCTATGCTGTTTGGTTGAATAACTACAATTCAAAATCACCGTCTTCATCATCATCAATATAAATTTTGTTTTGCAGTGGAAGCAAAGAACATGCTCGATAGCGCAACCCATAGGGATTCTTCACTGACCCAGTTAGTGAAAGCCCCTGCAAATCTGGTTGTCTGTGAAGGTGATTGCCTGGACTCTACTGGAGATTCAGGAGAACTAGAGTCTTACTTGGTATGGTACTGTTTCTGTCTGCAGTAGAAGTAAAGTTGCTGTTATGTTAAGTAGTTATGTATTACTTGCAGCTGGCTACATGTGATCTTTACCAAGATTTTATTCTGTTGGACTCCTGTGATGCTGTAGCAGTGGATAATTTTTTGAACAACGATGATATTGCAAGGAAGGGGCTAAACAATAGCTGCAGGGGTGGTTCTGTAGGTTCCAAACATCGAAAGAGCTTTCTCTCTCCCACTAGAGTTTCTGAGAGCACTGCCAACAAGTTTTCAGCTCAAAAGAGCCACGATGCTAATTTTTGTATGTCACCAAGGGTTGAGCCTGAGTTTGGTCCTGCAAGTTATAATGGTGATTGTAACATGCCTGATAATTACCATAATGGTAATTGTGATAGTCCTGATAATTACGACGATGGACATGGAGGTGAAGATGGATACCCAGAACCTAGAGATTCAGATGACTCAGACGATGAAGACCCATGGAAACCCTTGAATCCCCATGAACCTGGCGATTTGAAAGTAAAACCTTACAGAAAAGGTTGCAAAGCTTCCTTTCTTATTATGTGCTTCTCTTTAACTGTTAATTTTGTGATCTAATATATATATATATATATATATATATATATATATATATATATATATTTCATGCATTCAAGCAGTTAATTTTAGTAGAAGGCAGGGTGTGGATTCCAGAAAACGTGCATCTTTGACTACAGAGTTTACACTTGCAAGATTACATGGTACCACCAGTTCAGACCTCAATGATATATGGGACAAAAAATATTGTGCCATGAAAAAGCAGGGAGACTCACAATCTCCTCCTCCTTATGAGAAGGTTTTGTTTGTTGATCTTGTATTTGTGTGTAATATTGCATGTTCAAATTGTTTCATTGTACTAGGTTTTTTTTGCAGCTGCGAGAATCACTTATAAGGGGGGTGAACGAAGATTATGATGACCTGTTTAGTCCTAAGGAAAACAATGAAGAAAATGAATATGATAGTGGAGATCATGATTTTGGGCAACCTGATTACGACGTACCAGAATTGGCAGATGCGAATGAGGATGTAGCTCAACACGGTGAAAAGGTTTGGTAAACTACATAAGCTGTTTTACTATTTTAGAAATGTGTATTCAAGCTGACTCAATCTGGCATGGACAAGTTATGCTCATATATTCTCATTCTGCAGCATAAAGATTATGATTCACCCTTTGACAATGGCGCTCATGAATATCCCGATGCTCATAACCTTGAAGATCTATGTCGCTCCCACTTAGTAAGACTAAAAATGCTATTTGTTTTTAAATTTGTGATGCAAAAGATAATGTTGTTAGATGTATTTTTATATGATATGTTTGCTAGCTTGTAAACCCCCC